TCTCTCTCTCTCTCTCTCTCTCTCTCTCTCTCTCTCTCTCTCTCTCTCTCTCTCAGAGCTGCAGCTGGGGAGAAAGACCAGGGGTAACAAAGCCACTTTATTCCTTCTCAGCTCTGTTGGGGGGATGGATTAAAGAAGGGATAGGCTGCCTGAGATGGATGGCATAACGGATCTTCCCATGGCATGGAGCTGAGACTCTACTTGTATATCCTTAGCTTACTGATGCCCTCCCTAAGTTGTGCTGCCTAAAATTGAGTAGAGTATTTCAGTGATCTGATCAGGGCAGAATACAGAGGGACTCCACTCCCTTGTCCTGGAAAACATGCCTTTCTCGGTACAGCCTAAGACCATGTTGGCTCATTGTACTTGGAGTTCACTGAAACACCTGTCTCTGTCTTTGTCTCTCTCCCTCTCACTCTGTCTCCCTCCCTTCTCCCATCTCACTCTACCTGTTCTCTCTCCTCTCCTCTCCTCTCCTCTCCTGTCCCTCTCCCATCCCTTTCCTCTCTTCTATCTCTCTTCCCTCTCTCCTTTCCTTTCTCCCTTTCTGTCCCTCTACTCCCTCCTCCCCTCCCTTCTCCTCCTCATATTCTTAGTCTCTTCATGACTACTTTTCTCCATTTCTCCATCTCTGCTATTCTGCTCAAGGTATTTCTCCATTCTTTTGCTTCTATTTCTCCAAGGCTATCTTTCTGTCTCATCTCTGCCCTTTCTATGATTCTACTATCGTCTCTTCATGGATCTCTCAGTGTCTTCATCCCTGTCACTCCAAAGATTTCTTTGTCTTCATTTGTTCCTCTCCATGGATTTCTTTATTTTTCCATCTCTAATACTCTACAATTCTCTCAGTCCTCCCTAGCTTTCGTAGTCTCCCTTCATTGAACAATAGTGGCAGGACTATAGAAAGGGCTTATGCTTCTGGCCATGAATACTAAGGAGAAAAAAGAAAGGGCATCAGCAACTATGTTGGGGATGAGGATAAAAAAGAATAGAAAGGGTTCAAAAAGAGAACCATCGATTGGGGCTAATGGGATGATGATGCAAAGGAGAGAAGGTGAAAGTATTCAACTGGTTGCTTCCATTCTTTTCTCCCCAGAAGAATGCTTTTTGAACTGTGGAAAAATACCATGAAAATGGTTGGAAGGGAGTGGAGATAGAGCCAGGACAACGAGGGGATAGTTAGACTGTCTTCCTGTCTTCAGTGACTTTAAGTCATTGGGATCAAATGAGCTCCATCTCAGGGTACTGAAAGAATTGGCTGATCCAACAATGGTCTCTGAATAATCATGGAAAACAGAGGATGCATCACAGGACCAGAGAAGGACAAATGCCACCTTGATTTCTTAAAAGAGGGAAGAGAATGGAGTCTGCACACCATAGTCTGTGAGCTTGACCTAAAGGGATAGTTAGTGAGCCATAGAAAAGGAAGTGATGATCGCAGAGCCGATAAGCTTCATCAGAAACAGACCAAGCCCTTTCTGGCTCATTTTCTTTTCTGACAAGATCTATTGAGAAGCACGGTTTGGCAAGGCAGGCATGGCTTTACCTCTTGGAGGGCGTAGGAGATCACTGAGCTTATGGATTGACTTACAAGAAACCAGTAAACTGGGGGCATGCTGTGGTTATAGTTCATGTAGAATTCTTTGTTTTGTTCTGTTTTATCAAAGCATGTTTAACCGTTAGGCTCTTCGTGTAGCTAAGAGGGGTGGATTTGGATTTGGTGAGTGCACCTCAAGCGTAATGAATGGTTTGATGCCATCTTGGAGAGAGGTGTTTCAGGAAGTGCCCTATGGAGCCCCAAGGCTGGTGCTGTGTTACTTATCCATTTCGTAAGCGGAACTATAAGGAAGATGAAACACAATAGATGGCAGAGACTGGATTCTCAAAATTCTTAATGGATTACCTAGACCACTGGGCTGAATCTAATAAGGAGAAATGTAGTTGAGATAAGTGTGAAGTCTTAGAAATCATATTCGGAAGTGCAAGATGTGGAAGGCATGGCTAGGCTGCAGTTTACTGGAGAAAAATCTGGGTGGTGGTTTTTTTTAAGTGGATTACAAGTTAGACGTAAATTGGCGATATGCCCTGGCAGCTAACTTGATTTCCCCCAAATCCCAGATCTTTTGGCTGCCTTAGAAGAAGCGGAGCACTCAGGAAGGAGCCCAGAGAGGTGTCTCCCACTACGCTCTGCCCTCATCTGATGGCTTCTGGAGGACAGTAGCAATTTCAATATAGGATAGGTGACTGGGGATCCCAAAGCCTTTTCAGTAGGTGTCTCAGAAACATCTCCCCAACCAGCCCCAATCTTACCTATGAATGTGTTTTTCAACAATACCAAGTCATCAGCTGACTTTTACCTTTCTTTGCATCCCCAGCATTGAGTCCCCAGCACATAGTAGGCACTTAATGTTTGTTGACTTGAAAAACAGAGTGTTGTGGCTGAACTGTGAGAAGAGTAAGAATAGCCAATGTTTATATTTTAAAGTTTACAAAGTATTTTACAGACATTATCCCCTTGGCTCCTCACAACAATCCTGAGAGGTAGGTGCTGTTATTATCCCCATTTTACATTTAAGAAGATTGAGGCAAGCAGAGGTGAAGTGATTTGTCCAGGGTCACACAGGTGAGAAGTGTCTGAGGAAGGAAGGAAAGAAAACAACCATTTATTAAGTACCTACCATGTGCCAGGCGCTGTGCTAGGCACTTTACAAATATCATCTCATTGGATCCTGGGAGGTAGTGCTATTCTGATCCCTATTTTACAGATGGGGAAACTGAGGCAATTAGAGGTGAAGTGAGTTGCTCAGGGCTACACAGCTAGTAAAGATCTAAGGCTGGATTTGAACCCAGATCTTTGATTCCAGCTCCAGTGTTCTATGCACTGAGCCACCCAACCAACCTTGGGATTGCCACGACATAGCCGTTGTTCATGTAGGAAAAGAACAATGATTGGAGAATTGTCATCCCATTGTTTGACGTCAGTGAGCAATGTTAAAACACCTCCTGATCAAACGGCTTCCCGAAGCCCAGAAAAGAAGCCAGTGAGCACAGGAGATGGTTCGTGGAGCCTCTGCTTGTGTTTTGGGCTGCTGAGATGAGTCTGTTGATGTCTACAGCAACGTCAGTGATGACCTCATCGCTGTTTGAGAAGCAGGCACTGAAGGGGGCCTCGAGGCCAGAACCGGGCTCTTGTGGTTAATCACTGAAGCTAAATTGGTCTTAGAGAAGATGAATAATGAAAGGGATTCTATATTAGGAAGAACCAGCTCTTAATATAGTTGACAGGAGTCAACATCTTCATCTCAGGCCTCATATCTTCTGTTGAAGTGAAATCCCCTTGTAGGGTCCTGACGATGCCTTTCCTTGGGATATTCAGTTCAGTCTCAGTTCCTGACGCGTTGGCCACCACTGCTCCGAGGATGCTGCTTCGGGGGCAGCTGGACGTTCGGGCTTTCTGGCCTTGAGGTTCACGGGCTGGGACATCCTCTCTCTAGGGCTCTGCCGCCTTTTCTTCGGTCTCTTGCTGTCACATGGCCAACGAAGAGGGCAGTGGAGACAGAGAGCATGGCATTCTTCTCCCTCGGTGGCTTGGAAGCCTTTCCCCCTCCCCAGTTTGGAGCCCTCACTTGCTATTTTTATATGTAGTCCAAGAGACATGATAGGATGTCTGTCAGTTCATCATGTATCATGTAACACATATAGCATCAGCTGTCCCTATCCAATGACCCAAAGCCCATACGATCCTTTTGGGCTGTTAAAAGTTTTATTCACAGCTAGTTTACTGATTGACTGATTCAGTCAAGCTGTTTGGGCCGTCTGTGATGATTTGGGGTAGGGATGCATCCTCACTGTTATGTAACTGTGCACAAAATATATGCAAAATAAAAACATGGTGAGGAAGGTGTTAGCAGCCGAGGGAATCCAGAGAGGCCTCATGTAGGAGGTGGCTGAGCTAAGCACAGAAAAAAAAAACAAACTACAGATTTGAAGAGGTGAGAAGGAATTTGATAGATTTGAAGCTAGCACAAAGGTTTAGAGATGGAAAATGAGGCGTGTGTGTGTGTGTGTGTGTGTGTGTGTGTGTAGACAACAGCATTTCACTGGACTGTAGTATTCATTTAAGGGAATAATGCATAATGAGGTTCTAAAGACAGCTCGGGGCCAGGTTGTGAGGGACTTTACAGGGGTGGGCAAGGGCCACCTCGCACCAGAGCTGGTTGTTAAATTTTCAGCATAAGCATGTACAGTTCTAAAATTGGCAAATGCCACAAGTCTAGACTTGATTCATTGCTTTGTCCATTGTCTAGACTTCAGAAAAGTGATGGAGAAAATATCAGTGCAGATTAAACTTGTCGTGAACACATCTCTCCCTAGGGAGAGTGACATCATCAGGCCTTAGTGTGAAGAAAGTCCCTTTGGCACCTGAGTGAGGGATACATTGCAGGAGGGAGATCAATTCATAAGGCAACATTCCAGCTGAAAAGTGAAAAAGGTGGGGCAGCCAGGTGGCACAGTGGATAGAGTTCTGAGTTCAGATGTGTCCTCAGACACTTGATACGTACTAGCTGTGTGACCCTGGGCAAGTCACTTGACCCTGATTGCCTCACCAGAAAAAAAAAAAAAAGAAAGAAAGGTGATAAAGGCATTGCTGAAGAGGGGTGGGGGCTGCACGAGTGGAGAGGAGGGGGTGGGTGAGGGAGAATGAGCCCACTGTGGCCCACCTGGGTTACTGGAAGGATGGTGGTGTCCTCACCAGTCAGAGGGACATTCAGAAGAGTTGCAGAAAGAGAGAGAATGAAATCTGCTTCGGACTCGTTCAGTTTGAGATGCCTTTGGGATAGCCCGTTGGAGATGGAGATGAGCCAAT